TGCTGGGTGATTACCGCAAAAACTAAATAATATTTTACAAGATATTTTACATTTTATTATTATACAATATGATTCGAATCATAACGATTCAAATTCAAATCAAACTAAATCTCACTCTCGTTTCGGTTCGATTTACAATTTGCACTCGAATAGTTAAAACACCCCTAATCTAGAAAATGTAGCGAAATCCGGTAACGGAATGCGATAAAACGATTGGAAGATTTGACTCTGCCTGGGAAAGTTCTCAGGCCGAAGATGTGAAGAGGTGAAAGAAAAGGACGACAGGTTTCGAAATTGCAAATCCTCGAGCAAGTAGTAGAACAAGGCAACGGTTTTTCGATCCGCTCGCGTACCGTCCGACATAAAAGTGACGTAAGGTAGAAAGAGAGGTAGAGATCGCGCGTGTGTCGGATAAAGTAACAATATATACCAGGGTCATGTTCCCCGCACGTTGTTCAATATTTACATCAACGAGATGGATATATTACCGGATTAAGATGACCCCCGTGGCTTTTTAATTATACAGGCCTCAGTGCCCCGGGACATCTGCCCTATAGAAATCAGGGCTCTCGATCCCCCGATCCGTTCCCCACCCCGCGTCGGCGATCCGTTTCCCTTCGCTACAGAGTATCAATTACATTGTTATTAACCCTGGGAGTAGCCGGAAGATGCGGTCAGATCGCAGATAATGCACTGGTATAAGAGCATGCTGCAACAATGGGACAGGTACACAGGAGCGTTTACCGAAGCGTGGCCCCCGTCGTGCGAGCAGCGTGATAGCCATCGCGCGGTGCAACTATGCGTCTAATTTGGATCTGCCCGCAAAAGAGGATGCGCCTCGCAAAAAAAAAAAGAAAGAGGGGTACATACCCCACGGGGCCCGGGCGTGTGCGCTCGGCCGCCACGAGTGTACCCCGAATATGTACGTATTCGGGATACTATATATAACGAAGGGTTCGTCCTTCGGGAGATTTAGTAAAACTCTCGGGATGACGAGCGAAGCAAGAGACTCGCGGACGGGGAACACGGACTTTAGCATAGCCCGCATACTTGCAAACGACCCGCCGGTCACGGATGTCGACGTCGCACGGAAACGACGCGAGTTCCCAGGACGCGAGTCTTCGCGGTGGAGAACGGAAGCCGGTGGTGAACGGACATCGGGACCTCAGGACTTAGGGGAGCAGCGCGACACATCGGGCGAGTCGTGTCGCGATGACGACAAGGACGCGGCACGACGAACCGACCTCACGTGGCTCCAGTACACCCGGTACAGGCCGCCGAGACTCCCCAGGAAGTCTCTCGCCGAGAGACGAGTTAAACGACGAGCGGGCGACCACCCTCGCATCCCGTTCTCCTCGTCCCAGCTGCAAGTGTTGGAGGATAGGTACCAGAGAGGCGCCTACCTGTCCAGGAACGACGTCGTCGAGATGTCCGCGACGCTACGATTACCGCAGAGCAAAGTACGTCGATTGCAAGGGTCGTTCTTTCTCATCGTCGCAGAGATCTGATCTACAATTTTTTATATCTAACATCCACTTCTACAAATGTAGATTAACCAATTCTGGTTTAACTTACGCGTTATTTTTTTCTAGTTGTAAGAATTGGAAAAAGAAACTGAGATTAAAATTAATTTACATTGACAGATATAAGAAAAAAAGAGGCAACAAACGAGCAAATCATCCCTTCGAGTATCATCGGGGACAAAATAATCCGGGATTTTATTTTGGAGCTCTGTTACCAATTTAGCTCATTAATGGATATTTTGGCGCTAGTAAAAGTTTAAAGTGTCTTCTGCGGATTAAAAAGAATTAGTACGTTGAAAGAAGTGTCGGCTCAAATTTGGCAAGCGCCGAAAAAAGAGTTATTTTAATCCATGTATGAATTGGTGTACTTTTTATAATAAAAAACAAAGTGATATTTTCATCTCTAAAGTTTATAAATTAAATAGTATGACAGTGGTGTGCACATTTTCTTTTTTTTAAATAAAATTGCTATGTTTTTATTCTCAAATGGCATACAATTTGCATAATCGCGCCATCGAACCGCCTTGTTCGATGATGGTGAGACGAACAATACACTGATTTTTATGTATTAAAACAAATTATTTCTTTGAACAATAATTGAGATTTTCCGTTAGTTATTCACTAGCGAGGAATAAGATTATTACACACACTGTTAACTGAAAAATCGGTGCTTTTATGTCCACAAATAAATCACGTGTATCGATTGTTCTGTATTTCAAGACCAACAAACCGAATCGATGCGCAGTTCAAAGTTGAAAACAGACGCGAAAATATTATTAGACTGTTTATTGCGATAAATACTACCTGTACCTCGATGATCGAATTGGTAAGATGCTAATCACCGTATGAGAGGTCCAAGTTAAAGTGCTGGCTGAGATAATATTTTTCGTAATAATTTCTTTTAATCAAAAGTATAGCTCTAGCTGGGTCGAATAATATTAATTTTCCGTTCTTTGAATAATGTTTAGAACTTTTTACATTTTACCTTTGTGATCAATAATTGAGTCGACAAAATTAAATATACGAATTGTGCCGACATAATTAAATATACGAATTGTGCCAGAATTTGTCGACTCAATTATTGATCACAAAGGTTTTAACTTACTACTGGCGACTCAATTTCTCCAACAATTTTTACATTTTATTTTAAACTTTTGATAATAATGAATAATTTTTTTTCTTAAAATTGCATGTTTTTGTCTTCGAACATTAACCTGCTTTAAATGTCAGAATAATACCTTTTTAACGCGCACTAAAAGACTATTTTTTCTTAAAGTAGCTTATCTTAAGAGTATCTTCCTAAATTGACAGCTAAAAAATTTTCTTAATTAAAAAGTTATATAATTGTTTTCTTTAAAACGTCGTTTTTTTCAAGAATTTTTCATGCGGGGCAATTTGATTTTTCACAATACCATTTATAGAACATATTCAGCAATGTTTAAAATATATCCCATAATTTTTTTTTGTTAAAATTAGATGGGTAGTTTCACAATGACAGCCATTTGAAAATCACTTCAAGTCAATTTGACCCGTTGTGCAATCCGTAAATCTCTAGAGAGATGTGTAGTCGGAGGGTTATAAATATTATAATAGATTAAACTTTTTTTGTTACTGAAAATGTATAAGACATAATTAGGAAGTTTTAACCACCCTTTTGTGTAGACTAATTAAAAATCAAATAAATTAAAAATTACAAAGTATGCACGAATGTTAAAAGGAACATAAGTTTGACAAATACAAAAATAAATAAAAATATTAAATAAATTTAATTAATTAGTACAAAAATAATATGGGGCGAAGTTAAAAAGTAAAACTCGATGAAAAACCTAAGCGAAAACGAATAAAACGTGCACATATTTAAATATCCAAATATTTAAATGTCCAAAAACAAATCAATGTTAAGAAAAATGAAGTTTGAAAGATAATACAAAATCGTAAAATAGTATAAAATCCATGAGATGTAAAATGTCGATAATAAATTCTTTGGTTGATGCGAAAATCAATTAAGTCAACGCGTAATATAGTCAATAAAATTTAAATAAATAATTAATGTTTGGTTGAAATAAAGTTTAATAATTTGTCTCTATAACTTTCAAAACACAAATAAATGTCTTGTCATGGTGACAACGTATAAGATATTGATTTGTTTTCGTACTTAAATATTTAAATTCTATTATGAAAATCCAAATTGTGCTTGCAGATTAAGATCTGGTTTCAAAATCGTCGAGCGAGGCAAAGACGCGAATCGCTGAATTCCATGACGACTCGACGACGAGGGTGAAATAATTGGCGATGATTCTTTTGGAATCTGGATTGGAGAGATTTAGTAATCGTCGGAACGATCGACGGTATATTGGTTTTGAATTGCAATATCATTCCGAGCCTTGGTAAAAAAATTTTTATGCATGAGCATGCATAAATATAATATTGTAATAAGCTATGCATTAAATATGTCCATACACATTTTTACATTGTATATTTCTATATAATTCGTACAATTCTACACAGTTCTATATAATTTTATAGATTTATATATATGTGCTTTTATATGACAACATTTTTAAAGGGAAGAATTACTCATTTTGAATAATACTATATTGTATAACTGTGTACAATTGTACACAATTATATATAATTATAAATAAGCAATTTTTCACATTAAAAAATTTTCCATATAAAAGCATGTATAAATCTATAAAATTATACAGAATTGTATAAAATTATATATGTAGTAATATACAATGTAAAAATGTGTATGGACATACTAGATGTATATTTTTATATAATTCTATGTATGTATTTATACATGTTCATGCATGAAAAGTTTGTTACTAGGGCAGTTTCAATTTCCAGCACCGCAACTATTTATTATGTGCTCTTCGGCATTTTGTACAAATAAACTTGTTTGCGCAAGATTGTCACGATTATTTTCAGTTATAGGTATAAGAAAATAGGCCAGAAATATCGTAACAACATCCGAATGCGCGATCATTAAAAATCACGTATTAAAATTTAATGGCAAGTTTTATATGTTGTGTGTTTGGAAGAGGAAACCCTCCGTTATAAATCATCGAATGCGTGGCAAACAGCGTTCATAATCTTGCTTGCAATGATAAAAAGTTCCAAAGAAGTTTTTGCGGTATACAATGGAGAATAGAAGAGATAAGCATATAATTCATGTCGTAAGTACTTTTCCATTCCGCAAAGTGAATTGAGGATCCACAATCCGTTTTATATTTAAGATCGTTTTAATTCGAAATAATCTTAATAAGACTTTATCGAACAAATTAAATGTTCGCATAACATTAAATTAATATTAAATTAGTTATTATACATATAAGTATTATATAATATTAATATTATATTTATAAGAGTGGGCTATAAATATATAGCTTTAAGGTCAACTTTGACTAAATGTAACTTAATCGATGAATAATTTATCAGATGATATTTATACAATTTCTTTACTACAGATAGAATCATAAAGTTTTATTGGACTGGATGTCTGGACCAATGAGCATGTTATGTAAATCAATATGGCAACTCAATGCTCAATGTTCATTGGTTTAAACGGTTTTTATGCTATGCACATGCAGCTATACAATTTTGTGTGCGATGGCCCATAGGGCCCATAGCTTACGACAAAAACGTAAGCACAAACGTAGATAGCGCACAAGCTTTGTATAAAAGTAACGCAGTATGTAATTGGAAGTAAGTACGACATACGCCAAAGCTTGTGCGCTATCTACGTTTACGCTTGCGTCTTTGTCGTAAGCTATTACGTTGCTTTGTGTTCTGACCCTAAAGCCTCGTCTACATAGAAGTCGTAAAGTCGTAGTCGTAAGAATAGTCGACTGCGATTGGTCAATTGTTATGTATCTGACGAAATTGACCAATCGCAGTCGATTATTCTTACGACTACGACTTTACGACTTCTATGTAGACGAGGCTTAAAAGCTGCAAGTTGATTGGCTAATTCGCTCATACTTGACGCCGACTGAATGTATTTTTAAATAATTTCTATATGCAATCGTTTGTATTTCGTATGTAGACGTTTCTAGTGCAATTAGAAAGGTTTGTGAGTCATTCGTTTGTTTGTAATTAATTAATTATTTTTCCACCGTATACTTAGCGCAATAGATAAATTAGATAAAATTTTTATATGAAATCGTTGGTATTTCGTATGAAGACGTTTGTAGTACAATTAAAAAGGTTTGTGAGTGATCCAGATAATTTTAATTAAATATTTATTAAATGGAAGTTAGCCGGATTCAAAATTTAATTGATTTCCTATCTATGATACTGAATGATTTAAGACATAAGAATTGCTTGTCTCGTAACGAGATAAGCATATAATTCATGTCGTAAGTACTTTTCCATTCCGCAAAGTGAATTGAGACTGAATGATTTAAGACATAAGAATTCGCTACGACGGTGCTATATAAAAGGGAAGAAAAAGAAGTGAGGTTCTGAATCACTCTGGTGTATCATAAGTAACACCGAAGCGGGAGGAGGAAAATACGCTAGGGCGACATTTTTCTTTTTTCTCAACAATGGACAACGCCAATGTTCTGTCGGTCGTTCAGGTAATAAATATTTTATTGGGTGACGCAGTTCCGATCACCACAATGAATTAAAAAATACTAAGCCTGGATATTATATTATTTTGTGTACTCTCTGTGGTACACACTTTGTTACAATTTAATTGTGCACATTGCGACACTTTGTGTCTTTCTGTGCACGTTTGTGTTAAAAAATTAAAATAATTGAAAAGCACCCAGTGTAAAGTAGCCAATGACACTGTGTGTACTACATATCGGCATTGTCCAGAGACTTTTATATACTACTAGGGCTGCGTTCAAGCTGTCGCTTCGAATGTTACGAAGTATTCTTCTTCTCTTTTCTTTCAGTAAAGATAGAAAGAGAGGAGAAACGCTTTGAAGCATTTATGGCGGCAGCTTGACCGCAACCTTTATCCTTGTTACTCACCGCATGTTAAACAAGGGTAAAATAATACACTGGGGCACTTGGGTGACGTTTCTGAACGCAACAGTGAACAAGGGCACCGCCATATCTTAGATAAATAAAGGAGTCTGTGTACCACGGTCTTACATACAGGTCCTTCATCTCTGCCAAATTTTGGTGGTGGGGATAGGTCGAATTTTTAAGCCAAAAATCGTTTGTCTCTTGGCCACGAGAGTCGCTGCGGTAGAAAAGTAGCGGTAGTAGGACAGAGACACAGATATAGAAATCACGGTTTCTATATCTGTGTCTCTGTCCTACTACCGCTACTTTTCTACCGCAGCGACTCTCGTGGCCAAGAGACAAACGATTTTTGGCTTAAAAATTCGACCTATCCCCACCATATGAGATGAAGGACCTGTATGTAAGACCGTGATGTGTACGTTTGTATGTTACATGTCTGTATGTCTGTGTGTCGCCGAATGAGCTTAGAAAGTTCGATCGCAGTCTTCTCCCGTTTTTATTTCGCATCCTGTTTTCCATTACTCATACAATTTTTAACGCTGCACGAAGTCGGCATTTTTATTTTTATCACAATACAATATAAAAACGGAACGAGGACTGCGATCGAATTTTCTAACTTCATTCAACACCCTGTAACACACAGATGTAAAAACATATTAAGGTGGTGTCACATGGAGCGCAACTTGTGTAAGCGTAATCTGCTAGAATTTACTAATTACATATGCATCCGAGCCTTTTTCAATACACGGCAAGCTATTGCGAAGCAACCTAAGGAGATTATGTCGCTTCGCAACATGCGTATCGCCAATAACAGAACCATTTCAACGGAATTATTTAAACAGTTCTATCAGAATGACCCTGTGATTGGTGATGCGCAGGTTAGGCTGATGGCAGACAACTATCCGTAAGCGCTTAAGGCTGAAATCACATGATGCGGAATAGGAGTACGGGATAGAGAGTGCGTTATAGAAACAGGCAATCAGAGCTTTGCCGTATCAACGAGTGACGGAAATGTCTGGCTCTGATTGGTTGCTTCTATGACGCACGTTCTATTCCGCAGCTCTATTCTGCACCATGTGATTTCAGCCTTAGAGAAATAGGCAATCAGAGCTTTGCCGTATCAACGAATGACGGAAATGTCTGGCTCTGATTGGTTCCTTCTATGACGCACGTTCTATTCCGCAGCTCTATTCTGCACCATGTGATTTCAGCCTAAGGCTGATGGCAGACAACTATCCGTAAGCGCTTAAAGCGTCGTCTACAATAACCGGCGTAAGGCTGAAATCACATGGTGCA